ATCAGATTTCTTTTGGCCCAATCCTCCAATGTGTCTAGGTCTCTCTGGACCCTATCCCTACCCTCCAGCGTATCTACCTCTCCCCCCAGCGTAGTGTCATCCGTGAACTTGCTGAGGGTGCAATCATTAATGAAGATGTTGAACAAAACTGGCCCCAGGACCGACCCCTGGGGCACTCTGCTTGATATCGGCTGCCAACTAGACATCAAGCTGTTCATCACTACCCGTTGAGCCCGACGATCTAGCCAGCTTTCTATCCACTTTATAGTCCATTCATCCAATCCATACTACTTTAACTTGCTGGCAAGAATACTGTGGGAGACCGTATCAAAAGCTTTGCTAAAAAAGTCGAAGTATAGAAGCTTCATGGTGGATAGAGTGCTTTGCACAGATGTCTCACAAACGAATGGCCTCTTGACAGAGGGTGGACAAGCATGCTTCTCCCTGCCTGCTGATGTAAAACATGGCTGCCATCTGCCATGTTGTCCATGAGTACTCGCACTACTTTGCCTGCGATATGGGGTAGAAACACCTGGCATGCTAGGTGGACTGCTCTGAGCTCTCAGATGTTCGTATGCAAGGACAGCTTCTCCTGGGACCACTTATCTTGAATACTGAGATGCTCGAGGTGAGCCCCCCAACCTAGACTAGATACGTCAGAGATCAGGGATACTGATGGCTGGGGAGTGACAAAGGGAATGCCTGCCCTCACTGATCGGGATCCCTCCACCAGTTGAGGGAGGTGAGGACCAGGGCAGGAACTGTAAGCACCAAGTCCAAGTGGTGACAGCTCGGTGAGAACACTGAGGCCAGCCAAGCTCGAATGGGTCTGAGGCGCAGTCTTGCGTGCTGTACCATGTAGGTGCACACTGCCATGTGACCTAAAAGTTTGAGGCAGAACCTGGCTGTCGTCATGCAATGGGCCTTGATCTTTGATATCAGAGCCGACATTCTCTCGAAGCTCACCTCTGGGAGGAATGCCCTGGCCCGGGTAGAATCAAGCACCGCCAGGATAAACTCTCTCCTCTGGATAGGAATGAGAGTTGACTTGCTCTTTTATCAATAGGCCCAGGGCTCGGAAAGTAGCTTGGACCAGACTGATGCTGGCTTTCACATGGGCCTCCGACCAGCTTTTGATCAGCCAGTTGTCGAGGTAAGGGTAGACTCTGCCTTCACATCATGCAGCTCTAACTCCTGAGTACTGGTACTGGGCTCAGTACTGGAATCCGGGTGGCACAACGGAGTGGCCCTTCTCTTTCACACAACTGTGTATGAACGGCTGGAAGGCACTCCCAGTACCAGGGGAAAACCCCCATGGATTCCTGCATGAGCCACTGCCCACCAAACCGGGATCTGACGAAACGTAGGTTGGGTACTGGTATTGGCGCCTTGATTGGGTGCCCACTTCACCTCCAACATCAAGGACGAGTCAGTTTGGAGAAATTGTAGCTGGCTGGAACCCCTTGCCTCTGTCAGCCAGTGCCGAGGGTCCAGGGAACGGTGCTGGAGCAATGAACTCTTTGCCGACATCAGAAGGGTCGGTTTCCCTCTGGTCGGTACCCAGTGGACCCAGTGCCGGATAGGTGCTCAAGACAACATGCTCCGTTCTGCTCGATGACCTCACTGGTGCCAGAACTTGCTCTGCCAGAGTCGGCAGTACCAGGAGAGCCATTTGGTCCCTGGTCACTTCAAATGCCTCCAGGGTGGACAGCACTGAAATCCTGCTGGTGCCATGATGACCCTCTGGTGTCGGTGGATGGTCCAGTACCAGACTCAGTGGCGTCTGCGAGCATGGCGGAGTCAACGGTGCCACAAGCAGAGTTGGGGTAAAGGAGTGGCCATACCCAGGTTGCACTCCCTGTGTTTGTCTTTCCTCAATTCTGGGGAACGTCCCCTCTTGGATTGTTGTTTCTTGTGTTCCTTCCTCGGCACTGGTGAAGGGGAACGGAGCTGGGAGACCAGTGCCACTGGAGGAGCACTCTGCACTAATGTCTGACCAGCTTGGTTCTGATACTCGTCTGAGCCTGGCTTCCATCAGGATGGAACTTCGCCTAACCTTCCTGTCCTTTTTCATATGAGGCTTGAACTGGCAGCAGATCTGGCAATGCTCTCGAACGTGATCCTCCCTAGACACTTCAGACAGCTGGAGTGCAGGTCGCCCACCAGCATGGGCTTGCCGCAGAAGGCACAAGATTTGAAGCTCGGAGACCAGGGCATGCCTGCCCCCGCGGGCGGAGGATGCCCTTCTAAGCTAAATGTGGAGGGTTTAACTATATACACTACTACTGAAAGAAATAACTGAAGGTAATTAAACTTGTGAAAGAAAGGATGGAATAACAGAATCACTGACTAAATGCCTCGCTAAGGCAAGAGAAGTTGTTCCAGCGACTGTCACGGGTGGTCAGAAGGAACAGAGCGTGCAGGGCCAGCTGGGCCCCATATACTAGCACATGGCACCGGAGGGCGATAGAGTTAGCCCACCAGATACCACTGAGGGAAAAATCTCCGGCAACTGCGCATGTGGCAGGTGCACACCTAACATGGAATGGACATGAGCAAGCACTCGAAAAACTAACTTCAACACAGCAAACACATGCCATTCAGTTTTAAATATCTGTAAATACCTGTATTCTTTACCACTTAAATGCTCTGCTTTAAGCTTCAAATCTTGTCAACTTTTATATCTTTTTCTATATTCCAAATGATTACTACAGAGGCTAATTGAAATGAATTAAACCTATATGGATTCTTACAATACAAACCTTAGAATTAACTAGTGAAACTTACCACAAATTTCTCAATGAACAAATCAGTCACCTTATTAACCAGGTACCCACTCATATAAAAGCAATTCAGACAAAAATGATGTAGAGTTGAAAAAAATTAACCTAATTAAGCAATCAGAAACTGCAGGATGTAAATTGTGTAATAATTTACATCTGCTGAGTTGTTATAGCTAAAATCCTCCACAGCTGCTGCAGAATGACAGTAATATTTCAATGTATGGATTTTACTACTGTACTAATTCATTAATAGTTTCAAATATAAATAACGTTTTTCTTTTACACACATGGACAAATTGGAAAGCGTCCAGAGGAGAGCAATAAAAATGAAAAATGGTTTAGAAAATCTGATTTATCAGGAAAGGTTAAAAAAATTGGGCATGTTTAGTCCTGAGAAAAGATGACTGAGGAGGGACCTGATAACTGTCTTCCAATGTGTTAAGGGCTGTTAAAAAGAGGACGATGATCAATTATTCTCCAAGTCCACTGAAGGTAGGACAAGAAGTAATGCACTTAATCTGCAGCAAGAGAGATTTAAGTTAGATATTAGGAAAAACTTTCTAATGATAAGGGTATTTAAACTCTGGAATAGGCTTCCAAGGGAGGTTGTGGAGTTCCTGTTATTGGAAGCTTTTAAAAACAAGTTGGACAAACACGGTCAAGGATGGTCTAGGTTTACTTATTTGTGCAATGGCAAAGGGGGCTGGATTGGATGGCTTCTTGGGGTCCCTTCCATCCCTACATTTCGTCTATGATATATTCTCCCATAATGATGTAGTTATGACATGAAGACCATATATTGGTCTTAGGCAAAGACCATATATTGTTTTAAATTAAGCTACCACTTCAATAGTAACAGCTTTAAGAACTGTTGAACTCACGTTACTTTTAGTTTTGAGAGCTTAGGCTTGGATCTACAAAGGGACTTTGCCACAATGCCTAACTTTTAGATGCATAGAAAAATCACTGGAATCCACAAAGCCTGAGTTAGGCACCTAAGAACAGGATGCACAAAAGCCAGGACGCTAGGTGGGGCCACCTAAGCTAGCCAATGGGAAATGGTGATGGGAGAAGTATGTCCTAAGCCCTGTCCCTCTCACAGATTTCAGCACCTAAATCCAGGCTGCAGGGAGGCACCTACCTCTGTTTGAAATCCACAACTGGAAACCCATCTCCCCTTTCTTGGAGTTAGACAGTTTAGGTGGCTACACTGTTTTTGCAATTTCACACAAAACAGCTGGGGGGACAGACATCTATTAAAACCTTTAACCCAGTGGTTAGGGTACTCAGCCAGTGCATGGGAGATCCCAGTTCAATTTCCCTCTCTGCCTAATAGGATGTATAGTGTCCTGAAACAGTGAATGGAGAATTAGCTTCCTGTTGCTGCTAATGAATTTTAAATTAAGTCTATAACAAGATCTTTCAACATCCACCGCCAACATATGTGATCCCCTGGGACTGAAGAAAGGATGAACAGCCTTGGATGAATAGCATCTATCTACCACTTCAAGCTATCATGCTATAAACCACTTTTGCACTCCCCTAATCCTGGTCCTGATGTGCACCAGTCCAATAGCCTTCATGGATTTAAAATAGTCCTTAGGCTGGTCTAAGTTGCAACAGCAGCCAACAGCCTCAAGCAACTAATATGGCATCTGGGAATTGCTGGGACCCATGGAAGCTCCTGTCATGCCTCCTTTTCCCCCTGACAAACACACACTAAACTGGCAGGCATATGTGTGGCATGGGAGCTACTACACTAGCTTTATGCCATCAAAAGATCCATCTATAATGGGTTGATCCTCCAGTGGCTAGTTAAGCTGATTTTAGGACTGCCTTGCACTGGTAGTGCAATGTAACACAGCTGCAGTGCAAAGGAAAAAAAACTGTTCATACATCTCATTTTATTGCAAAATGAAGGGTAATTGCAGAGCCTTTTCATCATCAACAACAAAAAATAACTTTTCAAGACATGGATGTAGAAATACTGGCAACTATAAATCTTTAACATGTATTATACTTTTTCTGAGTCCAGGATAAAAATTCTAAAGGTGCAGAGACCAATACTTAGTGGCCAATGGGTGGGTTCTGAACGACTCACAAATTCTAATAATTTTGCCTGGACAAATGAAGTTGTTAACTATTTATTACTACAGATTCAAATCTCGTATTTGTTGACACCATGTTAAAGCCCACTTATTTTAGAGTATACTCTACCTGCGAGAATGCTGGCAGGGCTATTACATTAATTCCTGCATCACTGTTTGGTTCTTGGAGGTCTGGTATTTGTAAGAGAACTGCTCCAACTGGCTGTGGCAGAAACTCACTGTTACACCCATTTATGGGCTCTTTTTTGCTATCACCATAAGTCTCTCCCAGTTGATTGGCGTACATTTGCTCTACTTGTTCTCTGAGATCAGATGGCAATGCTTCCAAGACAGATTGATCTAACTGCAAATAAAATAAAATAAAAAGGTCATTAGATTTTCTGAGAACCAAGTACATAAAAACAGTTAAAAAGTCATAGTATTTATTTTATAAACTGAAATTAGAAGAAATTAAAACACAACAACTGACATCCTAATTTGTATACACAAGCTGACTTGGGAATCTCACCGTACTGAATGTTGTAGCAGCTGTATTACGTAAAAGGCAAAATTAAGTTAGTATATATAAATGTTTAGTATTGTATTTTTACAAATAATATAAATCCTATATAAACTTCCCTTCCCATTCATCTAATCTTCATTATAACCCTAAATAACTAATTGAATAAAATATTGGCAACATGTATATTGATTTGAACATAAGTCTACTATCTGGTCTAAAGCAGTTGATTGATCATTCTGCAATACAGCAATTGAGTGATCATTCAGTTTATGCTCCAACTTACTTTGGTGTTACTAATCTGGTGTATTTACAGCAAGATCAGACTTCTCACTGCCATACAGTAACTCCTCACTTTAAGTCGTCCCGGTTAACGTTATTTCCTTGTTACGTTGCTGATCAATTAGGGAACATGCTCATTTAAGGTTGTGCAATGCTCCGCTCTTACGTTGTTTGGCTGCCTGCTTTCCCCACAGATATATATATTAAACAAAATTAACATGGCAAAAGCTGAACTATGTCATTTGAACCTTTTGAATTAGTTGTGTTACTAATTAATTAGTAAGGTAAAGTAGTGCAGAGCAGAATTCTTATTTAGCTCTAGTCAGGTATTAGGATGAGCAGGTGTGAATATCAGAACTATAACAAAAGGATACTAACAGTGCTTAAGAGCTCTACCTTCATGAAAAACATAAATGGTACTTTGTAAAAGTCCCCTTTAGTAGTTCATTAGTAATTAGCCTATATGGAAAATAGTCCTTATTAATAACATAATAATTAAAGCTCAGCACATACTATAGAATTTAAAAAAATACATATTTAAATTCCTAACAGTACTGACATTTTTAATATATACTAGCATTGACACAAAAAAGTTTTGTAACTCTGAGTTAAGTTTTCAGAACTTCATGATTTTTAAAACCAAGGTTTGTATTTCTTTAAAGAGCTTTAGAGTTGCTGGGTGTAGTGTAATCTATTCAATACCCTGATCTCGGAGTATCTTCTCCTTTTGAGTCCCAGGTCCATTCCCTGACACCGTAAAAAGGAAGAAAAATACTGGAAGAATGACAGTTTTTCCTGTTGGGTATTTACCACAAAAAAATAGGAACTGCATTCCTGTACAGTAATTACGAACAAATATGTAGCAGAAGTTCCATACCCCTCACATTTACCTGGGAAGGTGAAGGAACCTCAATACTTAAATTAAGTCTTGATTTTACGCTGATAGGAGTGTGTAAACCATTCCATTTGACTGCGGACTCAGCCTTGCTGGTAATGGGATTGAGACCAGATGTCATATGGGTAGTGAGAGATGGCAGAAAAGTGCATGTTCTTGATGCAGATGATATTTCGAGATCCATAGCAGCCACAAATACTATAAATGTAGAAAACAGTATACAGAAAAATTATCTTAACAGTTCAAAAACAACTTACTTTTCACATGATATGAAATTTTAGTTACCCTATACTTCTACTGAAAAACATTTGGTAGTTTGTGCAATAATGGGAATGGTTAGTGAAAACTTTTTTCCACTTTAAATATCTACCTTAATTATCCATCTAGCTTTTCAAGATTTTGTAAAAGTTCCGATTCTAAACTAATCCATACAGCCCTCTTTTTTAGGTGGGATGTAACAGCAAAACATACATGCAAAGTCTTATTGCTTACATAACTGGAAATGAATTTCTGTGAAAATTGTTCAGACGCAAAATCAAATTAAAATGAGTTGTTTCTTAAAGGAAGCCAATACTATCACAAACCCAAAATACAACTGACCATGGCAGTTTAAAGCATGCAGTGTTGTTGTAGCCGTGTCAGTCCAGGACATTAGAGAGACAAGATGAGTGAGGTAATATCTTTTATTTGACCAACTTCTGTTGGTGAGAGCGACAAATTTTCCAGTTTATACAGAGCTCTTCTTCAGGTCTGGGAAATGTACTCGGAGCGTCACAAGTAAATACAAGCTGGAACAGATTGTTTAGCATAAGTAGTCACTGACCTTCTTTATGTTCTTCTTCTGAAGATTTCTTAGTTTTCTGAACATGGAGAAGATCGATAACTGAATGTGATCCCCTAGGTAAATGTCCAGATGGTACTGATGAGCGAGAGGAAACAGCTGAAGTGGTTTTATTGATGGGAACTAATTGATGCACCTGAATTCCAACCTCAAAACAAAAACACATTTTGTATCCTTATTTCTAATCACAAAGTCAAGAACAGTAGCAAATAAGGACAACTTAAGCAGACAAATTTAATGGAGTTTTTTTTTTATATATAAACTCCCCCAACCCTCCTAACCAAACCCATCCACTTACTACTAGTGGAAAAATATTTTACAGGTACTAAAAAACAAAATCAGCCCCCAAAGTCAACAGCTAAGAAATTAAAAAAGTGACACCTTTCTTCATTTCTCTGGGGTAAAGTAAAGAAAAAGTGTGTGTCAACAGGATGATATGAACAATTTATATAACTTATATTGGTTTTAAAAATTATACAAACTCCCCAAACTCAAACAAATATATATGTTGCAACCAGGAGTAGAAATTTGTACTAACTCAGAAGTACCCATGACAGCTGAAAGATGTACCAAGTGAGGGATACTATTTTTTTCTTCCAATTCACTGATCTAATCTATACTACACTTACCACTTCAGTATGTGAATATCAGACAAACAGTGAAGGTCCATGCCAAATGCACAAGGGCACGGTTTCCCCCAAAGTGCAATAGTAACAAACATACTTTCATTTTCTACCACATACATTTCCTGCCCGGAAAAGCTTTCCTCACCTTTAATTTAGTCCAAAATAATATTCAAAACAAAATTGCAGAAGTATTCTTAAAAATTATTTTGCCCAATTCAATGGTGCACCTGGGTACCATTTGCAGGCTTACCTCCAACTTTCTTAAAATCTTGGACAGGAAATCCTGAGATAGTATACGACAGGCCACACAGAGCATGAAATAGGCGGTGGGTGGGGGTCTGCTAGGACTTTTTTTATGTTTACATAGCTGGGATATTATTCACTGCCAATTAGTTTTTACTGTAATTGTGATATTAAACTGTGAAACTGTGAAAACTCTCTCTATAAAAATGGCATGTTTGAGCTTCCACATTTCTATTCTAAAAAGATTACTAAATTAAGTATACTCTGTTTACAAATAGGCAAGTTGTACTTTATTATATGTGAAATTATTACCCTGTTAATGTCAATCCAAGTCTGTGCAGCCTAAGAAAGTTGCATAAAATATATCAATGTAGAGCGGGAAATGTAAAAAACAGAAACTTGAACTCTAAATTTTATTAACTCACCCCTCGCATATCTGATATGTTCAATTTCATTGTGTGAAACATGTTTAGTGTTTCCTTCCCAATTACTTTTGCACTATCTGTTGCATGGTCAAGAGTTACAGTTCTGCAAAGAATAAAATACAGTTAAAGAAAAGATGCATTACAAAATCGTAAAGAGACTTTACACTATTAATTCCAGACATCATCTCAAAGAAAGATATACTACTTGATACCATAGAGGAAAGTAATTTCTCAGTCTACAAAACTGGAATAATATTTTTTAGGAAAACTAGGACAAATACACTATGGTAACATTGATTAAAATCAATACTTATGAGAGATGATTACCAGTCTAAGACAATTTAAAAAAATTCTGGATTAAGTTAATAGGGAGGAAGGGAGAAACATTCTTGTCCTCAATAATTAACTAACATTAATGATCTGATAGGTGAAACATCGGCGTTTTACTGAGACCATCCTAATATGTATATAGCAGTCAGAGCTGTAGAAGAGTCTATAGCTACACTATTTCAGTCGCAGTCTTCTTTCCTTCAAACTCCGAAGGATGTACTGGTAGCATGAAGCTCCTTCTTTCCCACTCCTGCCTCATCTAACACCTACTATCTTCTCCCAATATTGTCTCGTTGCTCTCTTGTACGTCTCCATTGCTTGGCCTGTACCTAGCTGTTGTCTTGTCTTATACTTAGATTGTAAGTTCTTTGGTGCGGTGACTATATTTTTGTTTTCTATTTGTACAGCACCTAATACAATTGGATGCTAGTCCAAGACTAAAGCTCGTGCTATAATAATACATATAATAAACAATATGCCTCACAACTTTCTAACCTCTGAGGTATGTTCTCTTCACCTTTCCTCCCCTTTTCTGTAAGTGCAGCTGTCATTTATTGTTCTTAATGTTCCTTTTCCTTTCTTTCTAATTTGGACACATTTGGCTCTTCTTCCCTTTCCTCTCCAATATTCTCCATTTTTATCCTGGATGAGTTCAGTTTTCAGACTGATGATTGATTCTGCTGCTTCTCACTTCTTCTACTTTATTTCCTCCTCTAGCTCTAGATCTACTGCCCAATAATACATCTATGAAAGGGATCAGTATTAATACTTTTCATATGGGATAAATCTATGCAGTAATAATTGATTTGTGTAAAGCATTTGTACAGCATGCCATTCTACTTTATTGAAAAGACTTAACTGAGACTATTAGCTTTGGAAAAACCCTATTTCATTCTATCTATATCAACAGTATTACATCAGATAGTTTTTCTCCACAAACAGGGTGCCAGAGCTTCTCTGAGATCTAATCTTATTTTCAGCATAATACAAACAGGTGGATGTTCTCAAGGTCACCTTTTATAAAAATATTAATATTTATTCTGCGTGTACTTCACTGACATCAGTTTGAGAGTGTACTATCAGACTTTTAACAAAAAAAATCAATCATTTTAGGATTTGCTGAATTCAAGGAACTGTACACTTTAATAGGTATTTGGCAGGCCATTAGTGCTGCATACTGTAGTAATGTGTCAGTAAGTATTACCAATTATTACTTTATTGTTTAAAATGGGGAAAAAAAGCATAAAGCCTTTTTTTTTTTTAAAGGTTTGTAATTAGCCTTCTGGAATCTCTGAATCCCTGAAAAGATTTATTGGAAGCTGATCATCACAAAGATTAGACTGGGGTGCTCTGATTGGTGCTGCTGATTGTACTACAGTGCTGAAGAAAATTAACACACAATTTTTAAAATTGTGTCAAGGTGGGTATTTGCAGCCAGCTGCTTTTCCCGCTTATTTCATGACCATCACAATGAAGTTCCTTTTCTCCTTCTAAAGGAGACTGGAAGGAGAGATATTAGTCTCTAAACTCCTCTAAGATTACAAGAGGAAAATGTATTTAAGACATTTTTTGCATGAAAATCCTAAACTATAGTCATGTTTCTATAGGAAAACAAGACCACCACCTAGGACTATACTAAGCAAAATGTATAGTAAGTTTGAGAACACTACTGCAGCTATTATATAGTTATAGATACTATATAAAGCCCAATTCTGCAAGGCACTGAGCACCTTTAATGCCCTTTATGTTTTATTGGGAGTTCATGAGGCTCAGCACCCTGCAGTAGTGGGTCCATACCTATATATTGATAAGTTTTTAATTCTATGCAAGGTTACCTGGCAATGTTGTCACAGATTCCATGGCCTCCATATTTTGCAGGCTCTACAGGGGCCCCAGCCTTTCTGACCATGATTTTAAGAGTTCACCGTTTTCCCTTCATCCCAGCAGCTTCAAGTCTATGTTGGATCTCTTCTGAAAGACTCAGAAGGAAAGCTTCTGCTTCCTTAGGCTAAAAGGAAGAAAAAAAAAGTTTTTTTTATCACTGTCATGCATCTGATGCAGAGAGCTAAAATGTCTTTAAAAATGAGAGGTATGTAAGTTAATTTATTTTCATGTAGTTTTGGCATGAAACTAAAGGATACACTATATAGATTTTAAAAATAAAAAAGAGCACAGCCAACTGACTACAGCAAGAAAACTCATAGGTAAAAGTGCCTCTTTTTTGCCTCTGAATAGGAGAATTTTCACTGCATGCATACTGCTATACGGATGTATGACAAATCTGAGGATACAAATTTCATATCATTTTGTCATTTGTAGTGAGAGGAGAATGTTTTGGCAACATCTGAGGTAAATCACACACTTTTGAGATGTGGAACACTGAAAAATTAGTTTTATTTTTCTACAAAAAAAGTGCAATTTCTTTGTAGAGCCATCGTAAGAACAGCCTGATACACAAACTTCAAGTTGTTTTACTCAAGAGATTTTAATGACAACTAGTACGAACCCTGAAAAGAGGAAGTTACTCACCTTGTGCAGTAACGATAGTTTTTCAAAATGTGTTTCCCTATGGGTGCTCCATTGTAAGCATATCTGCACCTCTAATCAGAGATTTTAGGTAGTGGTGTCAGTTCAGCCTGCACATGTGCGCTCCCTCCCATGCTGCCTCAAGGCTATCTACACTGTGAGGGTGAACCGTCCCCCCCACCCCCAGTTCCTTCTCTACACAAAGTCCCTTATAGAGAATACTGAAGTAGAGGGGAGGAGGGCAGGTTATGGAGCACCCATAGGGACAAACATCTTGAAGAACCATCGTACAAGGTAACTCCCTCTTTGCGTAGTGTCCCAGTGGGTGCTCCACTGTAAGTGGCTTTACAGCAATATTCTCCATGGAAGGCTGGGGCTTTGGAGTGGAGTCAGTTACTACAAAGAGTACCGTGGAGGGCAGAGGAGGATGAATCTCCAGTCATCGCACAATGATCTGTGAAAGTGTGGACAGAGGCCCAAGTTCTCTGTCCCGCAGAGTGGATTCCCAGGGAGTGTAATGTGGCCCAGGAATCCTTCAAGGTGTGAAGAGAAGAGTCTGTCTTCTCTGTGAAGATCTTGGGCCCTTCAAATGGGAGATCTTCCACTGTAGTCTGCAGCTCTTTGAGCGACCCAGAAAGGTGTAGCCAACAAGATTGTCTCATTACCACTGCCATAGAGACAGTGCGGGCCATTGTATAGGCTGCGTCCAGTGCAGTCTGTAACACTATTCTGGCTACTAACTGGCCCTCTCTGACAGTCACCTGAAACTGTTCCTTTTGTCGCTCCGGTAAATGTTCCAGAAATGCATTGAGTTTCCCATAATTAATAAAATTATATTTGGCCATGGATGCTTAGTAGTTTGCGACTCTAAACTGCAATGTCGCTGACAAATATGCCTTCCTCTCAGAGTTGTAGCCTTTTCCAATCACAATCGTATGGGCTGACTTGGTATGATGTTGTTTGCCTCATGCATTAACCACATCAACTACGATGGAGTTGAGTTGTGGATGTTGAAATAGGAAGTTTGCCTCTATGGGAAGGATGCAGAATTTTTTGGTGGCTCTCTTGCCAGTTGGTGTCTGTCAGATGACTTTGGCAGGATCTAGAATTGGGAGGGCAACTCATTAATTGGGAGGGCAATTCTGGGCGAGTAGGAAGTGTGCAGAATATCCACCAGTGTGTGATGTGCATCTGCCACCTCCTGTAGGGGAATCTGCAGCTGGTCTGCCACCTTCTTGCAAGTTCTTGAAATCATCAGCTAGTGATGGGGGGAGGAGCATTACAGACTCATCTGGCAAAGATAAGGAGAAGTTTGCTGGAGGGGTAGCTTCCCCTTCAAGACTTTCCTCCTTTTCCTCAAGTTCAAGGGCTCTGGATAGTGACGCTGTAGGAGACCATCAGGCAGACTCTTTTTGAGAGACATTAAACACCCGTGAAATATGGGATTTGTACGTTGTCCAAGGATCCCAATACAGCCATGGGGAGGGGAAGATGAATGGTGGGAGTGTCCAAGGGGGCCCATATCATGATCGTGGTTAGTTCGATGGACTTGAGGAAGACTGTTGTATTGTGATGGTGGGCCACGATGAGAGGCCAGGGAAATGACATCCTCCTGGTCACTGTCAGACTGGTTACTGAGTAAGGGGGGCACTGGCTGGAGTATTGATGGTACACACCCCGGTGCTGAGTGCGATTCCGGGTGCCAGGATGTACTCGATAGCAGGGTCCCAGTACTAAATAATGGGGATTGCGGTTCTTCCCCAACTGTCAGGTCTCTAGGGTACTGGAACTCTTACAGTACCATCGGCTCACTCGGTACTGTGGAGGAGTGTCCGTGGTATGTTGTCCGTACCGATGGTTGTGAAGGTGCAGAGCGTTCCCTAGATCGGAGCTTTGCCTCACCCAACCGAAGGTTTTCTCAGTGCTGCTCCTTTAGAGGTGGTAGAGTGTTTGTCTTTGTCCTTAGAGGGCAGTACCACAACCTCAGAGCTTGAGCTCCAGGTGCGTGTAGGCAGTGCAGCAGAGCTCATAGCAGAAGCACCCCGATGTTTCTGGGTACCGTGGTTTGGAGCAGCCAATACCAAGGTGGCCACACTGGGGAACCCCTCTGGCTGGCCAACGACTCAGTTTGGGGGCTTTAAGCCCTTTCTCTTGAGACTTTACAGGCAGAATCTGCTGGTCTTTCCGTGCCTCTAACCTCTTTGAAGTCGAAGGCTCCAGGGATGATCCAGGGTCAGCTCCGGAGTCCCCTGGAGGCTGAAGTGACTTCCCCATGAGGAGGAGTTTTAACTTCAGCTCCCTGTTCTTGCAAGACCTCAGCTTTAACTAGGGGCAGAGGGAGCACTTCTGAGGGATATGTGACTCTCCCAGGCACCCAGAGGCAACTCTAGAAGCTGGGCATTCCCCTGAGGAGGGAGGTATCACCTTCTAGCAGTGAGGAATGCAGAAGAAAGTTCTTTCCTCTCTTCTTTTATCTCCCCCCCCCTTTTTTTTTAACTGAAACTTAGAGAGTCTTCTAAAGACCCGTGGGGTGGGAAACATAAGCTAAAGTTCTTTTCTTTTCCCAAGGGGATAAAATGGAAACATTAACTACTAAGGAGAACAAAAGAAACAAAAAAGGACACAGATAAGGAAGGGACAACTGCTGGCTCCTTCAGTGCTAGACAGCCTTGAGGCAAACCACCAGGAAGGGAGAGTGCACAGGCAGGCTGAATGGACACTGCTACCTAAAATCTCCAATTAGAGGCACAGTGGCGCAGATACACCTACAGTGGAGCACCAATAGGGACACTATTTGAAGAAATTCAGAAGATAAGATTTTCCTTGACACGCATGGGAGCCTAAGCGGTCAATTTCTGCACAATTTGAGCACTCACTTCTATCTTTTATGATTGCTGCTCTAAACTTCCAAGTGAACTTCTTAAGTCTGAAGCAGCTGCAGTACTTTTGCTGAGGATCATCGCCAAAGTTGTCTATACTCCTTGGCAAGCTGCACCTAAATTCAATGGCTTTACTTAAGGATCCCTCAGTGAACACTGCTTCATTGTTTAGATCAGGGGTAGGCAACCTGCGGCACGTGAGCTGATTTTCAGTGGCACTCACACTGCCCGGGTCCTGGACACCAGTCCGGGGGGCTCTGCATTTTAATTTAATTTTAAATGAAGCTTCTTAAACATTTTAAAAACCTTATTTACTTTCTATACAACAATAGTTTAGTTATATATTACAGACTTATAGAAAGAGACCCTCTAAAAATGTTAAAATGTATTACCGGCACGTGAAACCTTAACTTAGAGTGAATAAATGCAGCCTTGGCACACCACTTAGGAAAGGTTGCCGACCCCTGGTTTAGATCAAATAGCCTCATGCTGCATTTAGCAGCATTTCATCCGTTTTTTTTCCATTTAATATTATGAAATTAAATGAAAAACTCCCAACACTGATGCAAGGAAGTTTGAGAAATCAAGCACTCAAGAGTCAGGAAATTACAAAAGGAAAAGTTTTCTACTGCACTCTCAGACCATGGCCATGAGGAACCCTACCCATTTCTTTTCCTGATTTCCAAGTGAAAAGTAATACATTAAGATTTACTTAATATTAAACTTAATCTGTACCATAAATTATGAATGATATGCAATGTGATCAAATTAGAATTTTGGTAGAAATATAGGTTCAAAATTTCAAACTCTAGGTGCTGAAGTTAGGTTCCGAGGGATTGCCTAAACAAACATTTAGGAGTAAGTCTGTCATGCACAAGTCTGCCAAGCAATAAGTGCCCATGTAGACTCTGTCATGCACTAGAAGTTCCCTAGTGTGCTTTAATGCAGTGGCTCTCAACCCTTCCAGACTACAGTACCCCTTGCAAGAGTCTGATTTGTCTTGCGTAGCCCCAAGTTTCACATTACTTAAAAACTACTTGCTTACAAAAAATCAGACAAACATTTAAAAAAAAGCATACTATACTGAAAAATTGCTTACTTTCTCATTTTTACCATATAATTATAAAATAAATCAATTGGAATATAAATATTGTACTTACATTTCAGTGTACAGTATATAGAGCAGTATAAACAAGTCATTGTCTGTATGAAATTTTAGTTTTTACTGACTTCACTAGTGCTTTTTATGTAGTCTGTTGTAAAATTAGGCAAATATCTCAATGTACCCCCTTAGAAGACCTCTGCATACACCCAGGGGTACGTGTATCCTTCGTTGAGAACGACTGCTTTAATGTACCCTGCTTTGAAATGGTAGTAGATTAAGTGTTTGTGTAGACAAACCCCTGGATTGTTGTTTTGATTCTAAAGTCAATGAGAAAGGCAGAGGCTCCCTCCCCCTCCAATCTGGCATTTGGTTTAAGAACCTGAATATGGATACGGAGTCTAACTTTAGGCATCCAGGTATGAAAACGTTGGCCTTAATTTTTATAATTTTCATACATATTTAATTTCTCAATCTTACCATTGCACTAACTTCCTTTCTGAAGGTAATAATTATTTTAACATTGTTATAGTTAATAAAAGATTTTAAAAACGCAGTATTTTAAAAGATAGAAATTGATTAAAAATCTGCACTAGGACAGTCTAGATATGGTATTATGCATTGCCACATGGGAAACCAGAATTTGAATTTCAGTCTGGTGAATCATTCCCGGGAACAGAATGTTAGGATGAGAATGATAGATTGGCAATATGACTGCTATGATTGTGGCTGTAATAGAGTGATGGCTTTAAAAAAAAAAAAATTAAATGAGGGCATTCGGAATATCCACGGGAAACAAGGAGGATCTTCTGCTGTGGGAGGAAGTCTTTCAAATATAATATTTAATCCTCCAAAATGAAAGACCGTTTTAGTTTACCTGAGTAAACCTTATACCATAGTTGATCTCAGCTGAAACAGATTTTCTTTCCTTTTCTGATCGAACAGGTCGGTCATCCAAACCACGACAGAATCTGTAGAGCATCTGTCCTGTTTTTGGACCAAATTCCTTCTGGAGTTTTGACATAGTAAGATATTGTAGGTCTCCACAGGTTTTAATTCCGAAAGATGCCAACTTGGATTCCATTGACCTACCAACTCCTAAGAAGATAATAAGTAATTTTGTTCTGTTAAGTCTACACAATCCAGACAAAGTTCATTATTTTTAAAGCGCTACCATTCTCTTTTAATCTTAAAATGCCTGGTATCCAGTTCAAATTTTAAGGCGCGATTGGGGGGGGGAAAGCATATTGGATGCATTACGATTGACCAGCAAATTTTGCATCATGTACAGTATTTGTTTAGTCTGACTGAATTTTAGTTAAGGGCCTAATTTTGCAGTTACTGCTGTCTGTATGCTTGTTCCAGCGTCAAGACTTGCTAACCTGTGCTTGCAGGACATTGCTTTTAACTTGTAGCCCCTTGGATAATGACTGTGTCTTCTATACTTTGTACAACAATTGAGCACAAGGTCAGTATTAAGACAGTAGTCCGATTAATACACTTTATCAATCCAAAATAGCTCTGAAACCTTACATAATCAAACAAAACAAGTGAGATGTATTTGCAACTGTACACAAGTGTTTGCACCTAAAAGGAAACCAGTAAAAATTCTAGCTATTTTCAATACTACTTGGTTGGAAACATGTTATTTCAGAGAGGAAAAATGGCTCAAATTATGAGTGAGGTGAGTTACGAACCATCTGAAAATTGTAAGTATCCAAGTGTGTTAATTTTTAGTGAAATTACTGATTTATAAAAAAGTACTAATTTACAAATTAATCATAACTTATGCATTTACACTACTATAGATAGCTAAAGTTAGAATATTCGGACAATCAGATTCCATCTTTTAGGATCTCCATTTTACAATTTAAATGATGTATGACACTGAAAACACTACGGAAAGCACAAAATGCAAGTGACATCAGAAAACTTTAAAGGACTTAAATTAAGCATACTACGTTATGCTATAGAAAATTAAATGTAATTAGACAAAAATGGATAGATAGTACAGGTTAGATGAAGAGGGCAAACTATAAAAGTTATGTATCAAGAAAAAAAAAGCAAGCTTCTAAAACCTAATCACCTATAGGCAATCTATAGTGAGCTATAATCAGAAGTGAACTTGACAAATTAAGTATTAATCTAGTTTTAGCATTATATATTGAGGAACATATGGATAATGATGCTATTTTCAAATATTTTATATGTCTATTACAATATCTTTCTGTTTTGTTTCCTTATATGAAATAAATTTACATTAGCTTTGGAACACATTCCTAAAACAGCTGTGCATACAGTTTGAGCAAGATTAAGTACCCATTTATGCTCTGTATTTCAGTTATCCTTTATTAGTTTGAGAAGTAAGACCCTGAAATTGCGTCAGGTGCATATACTATAAAGGTAACATGCTATCCTGTTACATAAAAGAAAGCACTTTGGCTTACAATTGCATAACTACACTTGCCACAATTGAGCAAATTTCTACTATTCTTCCATGACACAATCCACACAGATTCCTGTATCTCAAGTTAGTGGTACACTAAACAATTAGAGACCTTTGTTTTTCATTGAATTATTGTATATAATGTTGTCAGTCCTACTTCTATGTCCATTATGGCTAGATAGTGTACACAGAAGTGTTAAGGTGTTTTAGTCCTATTGTAGTTTCCTTTTCCATTGTATTCTCCACTCACTATTCCATCTTGCATTGGCTAATTTCAAGGAATACTTCCTTCTTTCAACTCAAGAATGCCCAATTTTCCAGTATCTCCTCTTCTACATTCCACTCACTGACTTTTTACTTCTCCGCCTTCCTTGTTTTTCTCCTACCCTTCTCTTACTGGGAATTTCCTAATATCAATAAGTTTTAAGAAAATCATCCATCTTTTTACCCCCTTTTCTCTCCCATTTTTCAGTCATGTCTCGTCATCCTTATTAACTCCCTTTTTCTGGTGCCTTCCCAAACTTCAAAATTCTACCAGTGCACACTCCCTTCTAAAAAAATATTCCTTGATCCTGACACCACCTACAATACGATTTTCAACCATTCATAACAGAGCCAACTAACCAGTCGGGCAAGCACACGACACTAAGACTTTTTCATTACATTCCTAACAGTAACTACCCATGTATAGTGACTCAGCATGAATTCTGCTGGAAATGTCACACCCACAAATTAGCAGTGCAAAAGTATTCAGGCTGCCTGAAATACTAAACTAAGTCCATCCCTTGCCAACTCACCATACTGTTTGGCTTTGTAAGGTCTTTAATAAGGAATTTATTCTTAAAGAAGATATAAAGAAAAAATGTAAAATGACAAGAGAAATGAGAAGGAACATTCCAGTATTCAGCAGATAATCCTAAACATGAAATATCTTCATTTTGCAGATTAGATAACCTTAAATAATGGCCAACCTCTTTTACGTGAATTTTGGGAAAAATAATTTGACCCTTGAGTGATACTGGACACCATTTTGCAGTATATAGCAAATTCTAATGTCAGCCTGAAAAATCCCTGTAAAAGAAGGACATCAATAATTCAATTAAAAAAATTTACCTGGAAGATTGCTAACTAGCTGACCTCTAATAAAATCATCCACTTCCTCAGGTTTTAAGTGATACTGTCCATCTGGTTTTGCTTTGCGAGTTGCCATTCTGGCCAGCAGAATATTGGAACCTGTAAAAGTGAAAAAATAATTAAAAGGATGCCAATGCTGATTTCTGCCATCACAAACAGCATTTTACTAGTCAGAGGATGAGGAGAAAGGTGCAGAGAGGTATAAGCCATATTTTAATCTCTCTCCAAATACTGCTTTGGATTTTTTGTTTAGTATTTACTTGTTCCTGCAGTCCATGCTTCCATTTTGGCAACTGGCAGGATTTGAGGGAAAAGGGATATTTTTGCAACACTAACTTGTACTTGCTAAATTACAATAAAAAACAACCATTACAAAATACTTTAAGTCTCCAGTGAATGTTCTATACATGTAGAAATAGACATAGGAGCTATCAAAAATTGTTAAAAAGTAAAATTACAGCATCTTTGTACTGTAGAATCAGTGATACGCAGACTGAGGTTCGTGAGACACAACTGACGCTTTAATGCGTCTCCTGTGGTTCTTTGCAGCAGACGTTATTAAACAGTGTGATTTAATTATTTATCAAAGTTATTTACCAATCAGGATGCTTTTAATATGCAACTAACCAATTGTAGCTGATAAAAAAATATGTGGCCAGTCATTTTGCTGTGAGAATTATATAGTATAGGGATCGGCAATCTTTCAGAAGTGGTGTGCCAAGTCTTCACTTATTCACTCTAATTTAAGGTTTCGTGTGCCAGGAATACATTTTAACGTTTTTAGAAGGTCTCTTTCTATAAGTCTATAATATATAACTAAACTATTGTTGTATGTAAAGTAAATAAGGTTTCAAAATGTTTAAGAAGCTTCATTTAAAATTAAATTAAAATGCAGAGCCCCCCGGACCGGTGGCCAGGACCCAGGCAGTGTGAATGCCACTGAAAATCAGCTTGCGTGCCGCCTTCGGCCCACGTGCCATAGGTTGCCTACCCCTGATACATAGTATATGAAACAATGAATTCTCACTACTGTGGCTCCTTTGGATAATGGTGTTCACTAATTTGGCCTCTGAACCCCTGAGGTCTGAGTATCACTGCTGTAGATCATTCTGAAAAAAGATGTTACATTCAACTTAAGTATAATAAACTATCATACTAAAAAGTGAATTATATGAAAGAAATGGGTATTTCTGAGCCCCGTTACCTGCTAAAAAAGAATAAAATTCCATTAGTTTTACTATTAGAATGCCCCATAAAACCAGAGTCAGGGGGACATTTGGCACACTTTCAGAATTTTTTTGTGCTTACAGGTTTCTTCATGTCCAGCCAACTACCACTCCAATATGGTGCGCTAGCATGTCTCATTCTGTGATATCATTGCTACCAAAAAAACCTTGCTGTAGCATAGGGCAAACTACAAAAGGTTAGGTAAATGCCACTATTTACAATGTGTTGTTCCCGGTCTCTCCTGTCCCCCCAGCGGTTACATTATTTAATGTCTTTTTTTGGTAAATAATGATGGTAACGCAGACATCATGGGCACCATGCTAGGAATTATATTTATGACACAATCAATAAAGGATTCCATGTCCAATTTTCCTTTTTCCTTTGGTGTCCCATCCTTTGCCTGTAATACGTCACTTCAGATTTCCACCATTCTACCTCTCTTAGGTATATGGCTCCCATTACTGTAGTATCTACGTGATTCACAATCTTTACTGTATATATCCTCACAGCATTATGTGAAGTGGGAAATACTACTCTACTCATTTTACAAGATGGGGAACTGAGGCACAGAAAAACTAAGGCCTTGTCTACACACATTCACAGGTTTTAATTTAATTGGCTTAGATAAAATGGCTTAGTTAAGCCAGTGAAAGCTCTGTCTGTGTGGATGCTCTTATTTCAATCTAACTTAAATCTGTTCCCAACTGACTTAAGCTAAACCAAAAAAAAAGAAACACTTATATCAGAGATAACAACAACAAGGAGTCTGGTGGAACCTTAAAGACT